TTAAGCTGCTTCAGCTCCACTTTCACTTTGCCAATCAACAATCTACAATGAGCAGATTTCCACTCACAGAATACAATAGGCCATGGATTCTAAAACAGATGGCTACCAGATGGCTACTCGATCAGTACAGATGTGCTAGGGGTTTGTTCACCCATTAGCCATAGGTAGCAAGGAAACCCAGTCAGGATAGGGGGCATAACTCCCTACCCCCTGACACACTCCACACTTGCACTCACACTCCCAAGTTCACCCCCACGAGACCACACCCACACAAGCACTATAGGAACGACACGATACGACACAGCACAACGCCCGCCGAACCTCAGCACGGCTCATGCGCTAGCGCGTTGACAGTTGGCCTGTCGCATCACCTCGTCACCCATACGGTGACCGCACAGCCAGGTTGCGTTGGCGGCATAGTTCCCTCGTTGGGGCTTTTAGAGCGTTCGGCATGCACGTCCAACCACGGCAAGCAAAAACAGAGTGTCCCTCACTGCCACACAACCACCTCTTTTCCTTCCTCGGCGGTCCACCCAAAAGAGTTCCACTTGCCCCTTCACATGTGGCTGTCCAGCCCATAGTACCACCTCACGACCCTTCCGTTCCCTTTTTCACAGTACAGTACTCCACCCATCACATCAACCCTGCGCTCACATGACAATCAGGCTCGTCGGACCGCCCCCCCGCCCGGGGGTGCACCCCCGGCTCCAGCTTCCCTCGCCCGCTTCGCCACCCGCTCGCCGGCCGCCGTGCCGGCTCAGAATTCCGCGGGCTCCTCTTTCACAAGGGGCCCCTCCACCTCCGCCCATCTGGAACCGATCGCGCCGGTCGCGGTGGCCTCTCCGGCCCTGTCGGCCTCCTCGCCATCGTGCCAACACCCACCTTCGCCCACCGCATCACTGCGGGCGTCCACCATCAGCCCGTCCCCGCCGTTCGAATCCGGCGTGCTGCATTCCACCACGCTCTAAGCGCCCGAAGAACCACCCGGCGCGGCGTCATCCTCGCCGAAGCCTGCGCCATCTCGTGCCGGCGCCCTAGAATGCGCCGCCCCGGCCCACCTCCCCGGCGGCACTATCGCGCGCATCTCTGCGTTGTCAATGGGCAGCCGAGGCGCCCTGCCGCTGCATCTTGCAAGCGCGGCCATTCAGGCCACGCAATGCCACATGCGTGGCCTCCATGGCCGCCTCCAAACCCGCCGGGCCTCCACCGCTCCCGCCGCGCTGATGGTTCGCAGCCGCTTGCGCCTCACGCGCGCCCCTTTCTGTCATGCGCCGCACCCGCCTCCAGGCCTGCGCGCCTCCCTCGAGCGAGGGGGGAGGCCCTCGGTGTGCCCACGGGGCTGCGCCTCGTGCTGGTGCGACTGCCGCCCAGTCACTCCCCTGCCGGTCCGCCATACGGCACACCGGGACATCGAGTACACGAAGTACTACCCCCCGAAATAAAACGCAATAATTCTAGACTACAGCACTTTTTCAGTGCTGCGCCAAAGTACACCCCTCCTTGATGAGGTGAACCAGCTTCTTTTTCAGGAGCTGTTTGGCAGTGTGCAAGCCCCTTTTTCAGGGACCAAACATGCACCATTTTCAACCAAATACAATACATGCATATATTTTCAGCATGTTTTTCCTCAAACCAACCTCAACATCAATTCAGGGAATCCAGCTTCTTCTCCAGAAACTCCCACAACATCTCACACTCTCACAGCTCCTTTTTCAGGAGCTGTTGGATTATTGTACACATCCCTTTTTCAGGGATTCAGCTATGCACCCATTGTAATCAAGTGCCAAACATGCCTTTTCAGCATGTTTCCTCAAACAGATTCTGGACTTCCATTTCTTCTTCAGAAACGAATCCTGCAGCCACTCACAATCTTGCAGCTCCTTTTTCAGGAGCAGCACCACTTTTTCAGTGGCAAACACAAACTATTTCCGCCCAGTTTCAACGGCAGCACCACTTTTCCAATGGCAGCCGGATATACCCAATTTTTCAGTAGTAAACACAAACCATTACAGCCCAATTTCAAGGCAGCACCACTTTCTCAGTGGCACCACATACAACCACTTTTTCAGTGGTATGCACCAACCAATGTTGCACCAGTTGCACCAATGGCAGCACCATTTTCAAAGTGGCAAGCAGATTCCAGCCACTTTCTCAGTGGCAAAATACAACTTGCATCAGGTCACAGACACCAAAAGGATGCACGAGCTGGAAAGACACATCAGCTCAGTGCCATGCCGGGGAAAGAGAAATCCCGGCATGCTCCTTAAGGCGCATGCCAGTAAAATGGTCGACCAGGGGCACAGCCCCACGAATGCACAGCTGTGTGACCCTGTGGCTGGAAAGAGACATCAGCCAGCGGGGCACAATCTCACGCACTCACATACCAGTCATAAACGCTCCAACTGGTCCAAAACTCCTTGTTCAGGGGGTTTTCCTTTTCTTTGTCACTTGTGACACTCCCACATTTTTCTCCTCTCCGTCACTTATTCAGCGACATTCAGAGCACCATAATGACCTCAGCGTCTGGGGCCACCGACGAGTTAGAAGGTTGGGCGACACACCAACACAACCCCATGCTAAGGAAAGATACATCCCAGCATGTTTCCTGGGGCCCAAACGTCTGAACAGTGCTGCCCAGAACACAGTTCTGTGACCGGTAAATCAGACTCTCCCCATAGCTGGAAAGGGACATCAGCACGTGGGATTGAATCTGGACCCAAGTGACGTGATGAAATGGCTGGCAGCACAGCCAGCACGTGTGCTTTTTCCACAGCATACTTTCAGCTGTGAGTGACTGATGAATAAGCAAACACATGCAGCCTTAGCAAGAGGTAGTCCACCCTGGAAAGAGCCATCAGGTGTGGTCTCAAGCTTTCGGTCGTGCATGGTTTCTTTTCAGCCTTTTTCAGGCCAGCAACCTCTTAGCCTAGGGCGTTTGGCTTTGAGGCTGGACACACGCCCAAACTGGGCAGTATCCTTATTCAGGACACATAGCCCCACCAGAAACTTAGAGCCGCGGTCAATGCTGTTGAGACAGCGTTCACTGAAATATTCTTGCTGCATAGGGTTTCGCTCAGCCGTCACCAAGCTCCCCTTGAGGCAAAGACTCCTCTCAATTCTCATGTCCAGCTTGCTATATCATCCGGAAATTGGGATGGAGTTACAGCAACGTTGACGGGCCTTGATGGTAATGTGACCTTGCGTCAATCGTATTCAGCGTTGATGCAGGGCCTACGCATCAGCGTGCCAGCAACGCTCTCGCTCGTCAACGCTGCTGGAACACCTCCCTGGCAATGTTGCAACAACGGTGAGGTTGCCATCAGCGTTCCTGTGAGACCTCCCACATCAAAGTTGCGTCAACATGCAGACGATCAGTTGTTATCAATGTTTCTGGAACCCTGGGTTGCCAGCAACGTTGACACGATGCGTGTTTCTGAAAGGTGCAACAACGTTGACGGAAAACCCCACTCTTTCTTCTCTGCTGGAAGACCCCCCGCTCTTGGTGCTGGCACAAGGGCTCGAGTGTTCGCTTCACGGACACAGTGGCGAGGACTGCTGGGTGAGATACGAATTAAGTTGTAGCTGTTCGATTTTCGGCCTCGGACGTCCGCCCCAACACACACGACATGCGTGCATGGCGGGGCAGGAGGTGCGTGGGGATGCTGGGCGTGCGGGTGGGCTGGGAATGGCTGAGGGCAGCGCAGAGTGCAGCGGCACACTCGGCGTTTTTGCAATTCACAAGTTGCTGGGCTTGCCCAAACGGGGAGTGGGTGGGCTGGGCCAGATCGGGAACCGGCGAGGATCGCCCCCGCTAGGCGATCTCCAGTGCAGGCGGGCATGGACCGTGGGGTTGCGCCATGGCAAGCCACAGCCATTGGCGCGCAGTGTGGGCCTGTGCGCAACGCATTTGAATGGGCGGCTGCCGATGCCAGTGGAGACACTGGGGCTCCCCTTGTAAGTCAGTGAAGAGGTGTGCTAGAGGCAGGAAGGATCCTCGGCTGCTCCAGGCAGCCCGTGCTGCCTTCGTTCTTGGGCTGGTACAGCACGTGGGCTCGCAGGGGCCCATGGCTTGGGCGTTTTTCGGACTGGAGGTGGCGGCCGTACATCGGTGCGGTGCGCGATTTGGGGGGGGGGGGGGGGGGGGGGGGGCTGACGTCAGTTTTCATGGAGATTGTAGCTGGGTGCCCTCCTGGCGTGGATTCAAAGATTTCGAGCCCTGACGCCGACGCCACTCCGCCACCAGCTGCTCTCCGCCCCTCCCCCGTGTAGGCAATGTTTTCGCCTCGAAAGGCGGCGGTCCCACAGCGTTGGCGGCGGTGGCGGCGGCGGCGGCGGCGGCGGCGGCGGTGATGTGCTCTGAGAGTGTGCGCGGCATGGGCGCTGGCACCGGGGTTACCGCGAGGTGAGGACACCAGATGTGACTTGTGGTTGTGAGTGGCGGCGGCGCCCCCCCCCCGTCCTCAACAACAGGAGCATGCGTCCTGGACCGTGCGCGGCGCCTATCGTGGGAGTGGGCATGGTGCTGTCGCGTGCTGAACCAGCTGAGCTCTACGTTGTTTGGAATTTGAGACGCTGGACGCGAGCACCGCCGCCCCCGCCCCCGCCCCCGTCCCCGCTGCCGCTCTTGCCGCCGCCGCTGCCGCCGCTGCCACCACTGCTGCTGCCGCTGCCACCAAATGTGTCACTGCCCCTTTTAAGTGTCCAAGTGTGCTTAAGGGTTGAAATATGTCGATGCAGATCAGCACAATTGGAACCTTGCTAGCAACAAGCGCATGGCAGGCAATGAGGCACATTTGCTGACATTGCGAACCCACCATGTCTTTGACGACTGTTTAAGGGGTAGTACCACTGGAGTATCCATAAAAGCAAGAAGGGAAATGCTGTTATATGTGAGCACATCTTGGTGTGTGGACTGCACTCATGCTGACAGGTGCACCGGTGTCGGCGATTGCAGATGGATGTTGACTTGATGGGAACATTGTGCACTAATACTTGCACCAATGCAAGGGGTGGCCTGGGTGCTTGTAAATCGCCCATCGCACAAGAGGCCAGAAGGAATCTATTTGGATTCCTATGGAATCTATGGTGACAATCAGGTATTCCTCTGCTGGGTCGATCCAGGGCTGCAAATCTCACAGCTTCACTGTTGAGACTGCTGCGCGGAACCTGTTTCTTGGCAAGAGAAAGCTCACCCAGCGGAATGCTTGTTGTAACCTGTGATGGGCTGTTGCTGAGTGGCAACTTGTGCATTATGGTCCATCAGCTGCAGACCAGCTCGTCTGCGAGCTGCACATGAGCAACATGCCATGCTCTCTGCCCCTGCCCCCCTTCTGTCCGCCGTGTTGACCTTCAGGATGAAGAATTCGAAATGTTTGTTGACAACAGGTGCATGCATTTGTGCCCTGCAGTTTTGGTATATGCTGCTGTGCCTAGCAGCCCTTGAAGCATGGCTGCAGCCTCCCATCGCTGACAACACATATGGCGAGGACATTGTGCTTAAGGCCAATGACTGGCATGCGTCCCTTGTGCCTGTCTGCATGGGAGCTAAGTATCGGCCAGGGGGAGTCTACCTAGTTGCCAGGAGCATCTTGGCGATCCACAGCTGGAGGCACCAGGTATCTGCATTAGCATTGTCACACATCATCATCATCGTGGGACTAAGATTGTGATGTTTGCTATTTGGCTGTAATAGACATATACAGTAATCCTGCAGTACCTGTCACTCCTGTTGCTGCAGGTTGTGGCTGAGCCCCTGGAGACATGTGACAACAGTTTGCATCATGAATCTGCCTTTTATGGATTGGCCAATGCCTTGAGGGGACCTGCCTTCTGGCAGCTGGCTAATGCAGGACTTATTTGCCTCTGAGCTATGGCAGGGGCCTAATGGAGACGATTGGTGGTGTTAGAAAAGCTGCTTTTGCTTGACCAGTGTGCAAAAATGCAACATGCAAGGCTGCAACTGCATCTATTGTGCTGCTCATGTTCGGTCCCACTGCTGTGTGTGTCGTTTTGTGGGATCCGGTCTGCGGGCTCACCAACTCCGTTTCTGTCAGAACAGTGTGGTTGCTTGGATGTTGCCGAGAGAAGAATTAGAGTTTGAGGAGACTAATGATCGTGTGTTGCGGCAGAGGGTCAGGTCAGCTGGACATCTGCAAGGATTGATGTTTTGCGCACACCAGCCCATGCCATTGATGCCAACAATAGGATCGCTGGGTGCAGTCTTCGATATCAGTTCACTCTGACAATGGCTGCGTGCCTTCTTGGCGACATTGCATCTTGGTTCGGCGGGAAGCAGTGTGTTAGTGTAGTGGGTTTGTTCTTCGTTGCATGATGGTTCAGCTGCAAAGCAGTTTGCTAGTATTGTGGGTTTGTTAGCATAGCGGTGCACGACCTGTGACATTCATAAACACATGAATGTAGGGCTCTAGTGGGGGTGTGTTCAGGAAATGTATGTGGTTTGGGCATGTGGTATGGACATTGCATGTAATGATCAACCTTGCAACAAGTCGTGTCAAAGCAGCATTCCTGCAAGCTGCCGTCCAGCAGCGTTGCATCGACCCAGTGTGGGCCAATGTTGCAGCAACACGCATCACAGCAACGTTGCAGCAACACGCATCACAGCAACGTTGCAGCAACACGCATCACAGCAACGTTGCAGCAACACGCATCACAGCAACGTTGCAGCAACACCCATCACAGCAACGTTGCAACAAAACATCGGCAATAGTGCTTGACAGCAACGTTGCAGCAATGGTGGTGTTGCCGCATCGTTGATATGCACGTCTTGCGTCAACGTCGCCCAATAGGAACCCGTGTCACTGTCTCCCAGCGGTACCATAACCATCAAGGCCCATCAACGTTGCTGCAACACCATCCCAATTTCCAGATGATTACCAAAACGCAAGCATTCAACCAATTTTTGTTCCTGTTTTTGCCTTTTTTCCTTTTCTACCCGTTGGTGGTATACTCGGACGGACCATCCCACACAATCAACATGCGTGTCAGGTGCGAGTCCCTCGCCAGCTGAATCATAAGTGACTCACCCAGTGAAACGGTGGTCATTATACAGCTGCGCGAACAAAAGGCTACTGAATCCCTTGCACTTGCAATCGATTTTTTTGCATACATGCATCCTGCCCAGAAATCCCCATCCTGGCCCTTGCCCGCTCTCGGATTGCAATGGTACACTCGCTGTCAAGATGGCCTCGATATGCAGAACCCAATCTTGTTGCTGACTTTTCGAGGGCATTACTAAGGATGGCGCTCAGGGCCATCACGGCAATCGCCGGCACCCCGGGGGCTGATGGAGAAGCGGTTTTGGGGCATCATGTGAGGATGACAAAGGCGTGGGTTTTGATGGGCCGATGGCACGGAGGAAGCGGGCGAACCGTGGGCTGCAACATGATGAAGCACGGGGTGCAGCATGATGAAGCACGCAGTGCAGAGTGATGTGCCGCAGGGTGCAGGGCGATGCGTTGCAGGGCGCGAAGTGATGAGTCGATGCTAGTGACGCTGGGTGAGATGTGAGGGGGAATGGCAGACGGACATTTTGGTTGAGTGGACGCGTGAGTTCGTCATGAGAGGCGGGCATGGCATGTCGTGCCCGCCAGATAAAAATACGGCGTTGTCCACCCCAGTTGGGCAGGGGCTGAAGATTCCAAGTCCTGGCGATGCAAAGATTTGTGATCTGTCTGACGGTCGCCTGGACTCGCCGGCGGGAACATTGGATTCAGCAGTCTAGAGTAGTTACTGTGGACCTCATGTAACAGCATGAGTCGGTCTCTCGGGTCGCTGAATGACGCGCGTTTTCCCTCACTCGGAGCCTATGGTGGGAATGATGGAGAATGTCAAACTACGTGGGTGTTGGGTGTTGGAACCGGTGTGCTTTGATGGTCTTGGCGGGCACCAATCATGATGAGGCGTGAGGACCATTGTAGGTGAACGGGAAATGGGCATTACCAAACGATCACAGGTTAGTTGGAGAGTGGCGAGCGCCAGTTATTCTGCTGTAATGGGCGTGTTGCCACCAACCCTTTGGTAAGGAGAATGGTGGTGGGAGGACAAAGGGTAGATAAACTATTGAAAGCATGGAGTGGGTAAACGGCGACCTGGACGTCGCCTGATGTGTTTGACCGAGTTTTGACAGGGCACGTCGACTCACCTTTAGGGTGGAGGTGAGAGCGCGTACCCGAAGGGTGGTTTGAAGGCATGTCAGTCCCATACTGCTGCGCGTACAAAGGGATTTGCCACCCTCATCTTGGAACGCGGTGGTCATCAACAACCGAGCCCGAGTTTTTGGCTTTCATTTATGTTAACTCCGACGATCATGCCTTCGTTTAGTGGATGACGCCGGGCATGGTTTGAACAGCGCACATAATTCCTGTCACCGCTGTTGTAACTTAGTTCTCGTCTACGATTGGTTGAGGTTTATTAACAACTGAATGCATGAAGCGATGGTAAGGCACTAGGAATTGCATTAAGGATGTAGATGAACAGATTGAACACAAGGGACAGAACTCCTGTTGTCCCTTTGCCTCGGCTGTAAATGACATTAACTATCTTGTTAATAGATTTCCACCCAGGACGACGTTGGGTGGGTTGCGCCGAGTTTCGAATCAGGCGCAATCGTATTCAAACGGGTTTCTGGCCCTTCCTAGTACCTTGGGTCAGTCAAAGTACGGAGTGTCCAAGGGTCCGCCCTTTTTGGCGGCTTGGACTTGGCGGGTTTTGGCGGGGCTGAGCGGGGGCGGCTATTTAGGCTCTCTCCTCGGTCCCCCTCCTATCTTGTTTCGCTTCGCGCCACTTGTTGGCACAACCCGAAGGCACCGAGTGCCTTGCCCTCCCCAGCCGTCTTGGCCGAGTTCTTTCTATGAACCGGACACCTGCGGAGTAGTGGCTTCAAGACCAAGCCGTCCGGTTCAACGACGGTCCGCCTACGGCTTCTCTCAACACCGTCTGGCTACCGGACCCCCGTCTCCTTCCGCGGTCAGTCACCAACCCGGTGGTCCGACCTCCGGGGGTCCGTTTTCCCGAGTGGTTCGACGTGAGGCGGACTTCCGAAGGCGCACAGCTCGCGCAGGCGCTGGGGACCAACTCCGGCTACTTCCAAGAGTACCAGAACTGGGCGCCCTACGTCGCGTGGCTCTTCGACCTCACGGCCGCCTTGATCGACTTCGCGGCGCACCAGGAATTCCCGCCCATCTTTCGGGACGCCCTCTTGCCGTACCTCCATGCCCAGGTGACGATTACGACAAGATTGCAGAGCCTAATCCGTCTCCAACAAGTGCACGGGGAGCACAAGGGGACGTCCCTCGACGGGTTGTGGCGCGCGCTCCAGACCAACGTTCGGCTGGGCGCCGTTCATCGCCGCTTCTGGGATCCTTTGATCGACGAGCCGCTGGAGCACATCCGCAAGGAGGTCCTCAATCAGCAGTTGAAGTTGGCGACCAAGTCGGCTGCCGCCAAGAACCAGGCCAACCTCGATCGCGCCGCTCCGGCTCCCAATCCTGCGGGCGCGTCCACCTCCAACGCTCGCCACTTCAAGGGCAAGAGTTCCAAGCCGCAGGCGGGCCCCAACGCTCCGGCCCAGCCCCCCAAACCCGCCGCCTAGAGGACCCTCCGTACGCTCGTCTTCGGGGCCGTCTCTCCGGGTGGCGCCGCATCGGGGCGCCTTCGCGAGTCTTGCAATGGATCCACACCGGAGCCCCCCTTCAATGGGGCCCGATAGGCCCTCCGGCCCCCTTCGATCAGGGCGAATACCCCTTGACGACCCCGGAGGAATAGCGAGCATGGCGGGAACTGCGGGACGAGTACCTCGAGACGGGGGCGATCGTCCGGACCAACCCCTCTTCCGACGCCCGGATTTCGCGCGCTTTCTTGGTGGCCAAGCCGGCGGAGAATGGCAAGACCAAATACCGGCTCATCATCGATCTTCGGCGAATCAATCGCCATCTCAAGAAGGTTGGTCTTCGTTATGAAAAACTGCGCGATTTTGGATTTCTGCTGAAGAAGCATGATTACTTGGTGGGATTCGACATCAAAAACGCTTATCATCATATTCGGATGAGAGCGGATCAAGAGCATTTTCTTCAATTTGTGGAGATTTTAAGGCTCTTTTTATTTGGCCCTCTTTATTTCATGTTAGTAGGTGGTATGACCCCAAATTTTGTCCTCCAAAGCCACTCGTTTTCGTTTTGGTCGATTAGCGGGGGAGGATTCCATTCTCCAGTACTATCTCCAGTACTCGCGGGAGCTTCCCGCGCTGATTTTGGCCTATTTGGATGATTTCATTGCTGCCATGTCGGATCCTCAGTGGCTCACCCAATGGTCCAGTTTGGTCCGCCGGGTTTTCGCCACTCTTGGCCTCGCTTTTAAGGAGTCCAAGTGTCAATGGGAGCCGGTCCAATGCAAGAAGCATCTGGGGATCTTGATCGACACCAATCAGTGCCAATTTCAGGTCCCTCCGGACAAGGTTGCGGCCATTTCGCGGCGGGCCCAGGAGATTAAACTTCCTTCCGTTCAAAATGTCCCATAACATGTGGTGAAAAATGGGGTTCAAACGTGTATTTGCTGACTTTGACATCCTACCAATATCGTATGAGTTGTGCTTTGACAATTCTGCAATATAGTACACATTAGGTTGGCTTGGGATACAAGGGACATATAAGAGGTTTGGAGGCATTTTGGGGACAGTGCGGTTCCGCGATGGAGGAACCGCAATATGGAGATAGCATACGCAATTGGACGGCCTGCACGTGGGAGATGGCCACCATTTTGTTCGTGCTGTAAGTCCTTGTTTATGCAAGGTAGCGGGGATCACGCGCGATGGACCAACGCTTTGCTCGTTCGTTGCAGAGCTCACGCACACTCAGAACACTTTGAGCCAGTGCCATCCGCCGCAGGGCGTCGGGCGCAGAGGGGCATTCTTACACATAAGAGCATCCATTTATAGTACAAGTTCCTCGTTCGTTTTTACTTGCACCCTTGCTGGCTCCTTTTCTGTCTGTACTGCTTTCCCTTGCACTTCCCATTGAAACCCAGCATCCCAACTACCCTTTGCCAGCCTGTCCCACTTCCACCCGCATGCTCTACCCCGTAGTCTCCCTTAGCCCTCCCTATTCCTGTCCGCAAAGCCATACTAGCGCGAAGTCACCCCAAGCCCGTCCTAATTCCTGTCCCAAAGCCCTCACTACTACCTTGACTACCTTCCCACTGCACCCATCTTCTAAATGACTGCCGTTCC